TATCTCAAGACAGGATATAAATCCTTAAAACTGGACAACAAAGCCTAGAAGAAATTTAGCAATGTTTTAGTCAAATCATAAAATTCTATTTCACCAATTCAGTCTCATGTACTTTATCTTCTGTTGTGGTTCAATCTTCTCAAATAAATTCTGTGATAGAATATTCAACTCCAGGCTTGTCCCTATGATTAAGGTGGCCATTTTCTTAGTTTTTGAACTCTTATTTCTGTGTGTCTGTATTTAATTTTCCTGATACAGCACTCCCTTGAGAATATCTTGGAGATCTGGTCTGGTGCTGGTAAATTCTTTCAGGTTTTGTTTATCTGAGAATGTTCCTGTCTTTTCTTCCAACATGAAGGATAATCTTGCCAGGTACAGTATTCTTGGTTGAAATTGCTTTTCCCTTAACACTTTGAATATATTTTCACATTGTTTCTGATGGGAGGTCTGCTGTTATCCTGATGGGATATCCTTTGTAGGTAACTTAATGTTTTTCTCTTGCCAATCTTAGTATCTTGCCTTTGTGTGTGGTTTTAGTCAATCTGGCTGTAACGTGTTTTGGAGAAGATCTTCTTGGGTTGATTCTAATTGGGGTCCTTTGTATTTCTTGAGACTGGATCTTTGAGGGCCTCTCTAGGTTTGGAAAGTTTTCTTGCAGGATTTCATGGAATAGATTACCAATGCCCTTATGAGACTCTTCGCCTTCTGGGATACCAATTATCTGGATGTTTGGACGTTTAATAGTATCTAGTATTTCTCGTATATTCTTCTCATTTTTTTGAGCCATTTTCTCAGTCTTTGTGGTGGATTTTTCTAGGCCAGAAATTTTCTCTTCTACATCTGAGATTCTGTTTTCTGTATAATATAATCTGCTTTTAATAATTTCAAGGGAGATTTTGACTTCCTGTATTATATAGCCTTCATCTCTAACAGGTCCCTTTGATCCTTTTTTAAAGTGTGTAATTCCTCTTTTAGATCTTACAAGAATTTTCTCACCTCCTGGAACTCATCAGCTCCTTTCTCTTTACTCTTCTTCAGTTCACTGTCTCTCTTCTCTTCCATCTCCATTGGCTTTGTCATTATGAATATTCTAAATTCTTTATCAGACGTTTCTATGATTTCCATTGAACTGTCTTTGGATGAAGAGGAGTTATTCTTTTCCCTTGGAGGAGAGGTAAGTTCTTGCTTTCCCCTATTTCTTGTGGCCCTGCAGTGATTTCTAGTCATCTGATGGATGATGTATTTCTTCCTAATTCTTGAAGTTCAATCTGAACGTTTGGGAGCTTGCAGAAAGAGGTGATCTGTAATATCTTTGCCATTCCGTTGTGATCCCTTTGTGCAGCAGATTCAGTAGATATTCAGGAATAATTTAACCGTAATAGTATTTGGATATTTGGCTATAGTTCACTTATATCTGGCTAGGAGCACAGTAAATGGAGATTGAGGAGCAGAGAGATAACATCAAAGAAAAAGGAAAACAGAGGAAAAAAAATAACAAAGAAAACAGAAAAAAAAGTTAAAAAATAATTTTTAAAAAAAGGCACAAAATACAAAATGAAAAAACAGAAGCAGACAGAGACAAAGATAGAAGGCTAGAAGAGCTCAAGTTTGTGGGCTGGAGGCTGAATTATCAGTAGGAAATCTTCATTTCTCTTTTTCCCCTGAAATCACTAGTTCTCAGGAGCCATGAGGAATCATCTTCTGAATAGAAGGCTAGAAGAGCTCAAGTTTGTGGGCTGGAGGCTGAATTATCAGTAGGAAATCTTCATTTCTCTTTTTCCCCTGAAATCACTAGTTCTCAGGAGCCATCCCCCAGCATACTCTTGATCCAGCATAAACTGGAGTACTTCAGAGCACTTTGTGATCTGTCATTCATTTTGCATATGTGATATGGAGACCAATGACACAGAGATCCATGGTGGCATTATGATACATAAAGGCATGCAAGAATCAGAAGCAGGATATTATTCAGAGTAACTCACCTCAACCAAATGTACAAAAGAGGAGAGCAGTCATAACTTTAGTCGAAGAAAAACTCCACATTTAGATTTTGTCCTACAAATAGAACAGACCCTATTTATTTACCTATTTCTTTTCCTGAAAGTGCCTTACGAGACACCAGGGCCTTTTCATTTGTTCCCTCTGCTGAACACTCATAGTCCAAACCTCATGACCTCAGAGACTTTCCCTAACATAAAATCATCTCCACCCTATTTCCTAAGTAATGTGTGTGTGTGTGTACACATATTTTTTTTTAAAGATTTTTAAGGGTTTTTTGTGTGTGTGTAGGTGAGGGAAAATACCTTTGACCGTGTCTCTCCACACTACATTCCTCCCCCCACCTCCCAACCAGACTGGATCACAAGTGCGTAGGAGAGTGGCCAATTTGTTGAAGTTGGTTGTGTGGCTCCAGAATTATGCTGTGACATTCTACCATTGAACCACTGTGAATGGGCCTGTCTATATTTTCCTCAGATGACTTCTAGTATTTAGCATAGTACCTGGATCATAATAGCAATAAATCTGTTAATGAACTGATTGAGTCACTCAAATTATTCCAGAACAAATTAAATTGGTGGCAATTGTGCAATTAGTATTTAGTAAAATTATTCATATTAGAAACCAGAAGAACTACGAAAAGCCTCCAAAGAAAAGATCTAATATAATTATTTGTTTTACTAATTTGTTGAGGAATTATTCTCTTCTTTTCAGGAAAATAAGCTATGCCAGAATAATTTTCAAAGCTGTATATTGCTCTCTAAATGAAATAAATGGTGACACATTTTTATATACACAGCATTTTTATTAAATATACTTTGTGAGAAAAAGAACACCCTGAAGTGCCAAATTTCATGTAAATCAGATAACTTAGTAAATATAATCATGAAAAAAATTAAAGGGGGAAACATGATCTAAATAGTTTTATAAGAGCACAAGAACATACCTTAATCTTCACATAAGAAAACAATCATCAAAATATAAAAGGGAGAGAAATGTCTTTCATAGAAGGATATATTTCAAAATTCCACCTGCTGATCATTACATTAAAAAAAATTCTATTCTAAATACAGTCTCACCCTTCCCAACATGTACAGTTTAATCAAGGGTTGAAGGGGCGTTAGACTACTCATTCACACTGAGGTAAAGCAACAGCATTTTTCTTGCACAGCAGTATTGCTCTCTGGCACTAACAGTGGAAGATGAGGAAAGCAGATTTCTGGATTCAACTGTTAGAAGCTAGAAATTTAGAAAAAATAGATCTCAAGCTTTAGCTATTTCCCAGATAACCCCAGAATTAACCACACATTGCCAATGTACAGGAAGCTGTGTGGAAAAAAATATGAAAATACTCTGTTGAATAATAGCTTTATGTTACCTTTACTTAAGCTATTCAATAATTAAATATCATTTATTCTAAATTATACTGGGTTTCAGCATAGACGTGAACTAGCAAGTATAATATGAAGCTCACAGAAGAGTGTCAGCACGCCTTGCCAATGTTTGATACACGTATTTGGAGTCAGTTGAAAGATAACTATATGCTCACTCAAAAATGAGTATTTGCTAAATGTATCAGATATTCATAAACTGAAGTGATACACACATTGTGGGGGCAAAATAAATATTTAATGGTTGGCCAATTATATATATAATATATATACACCATTTAAGAATGCCTGGGTAATTCCCATGCAAATATATATATATATATTTTTTTACCCTAATAACATCCTGCCATGTGTGTGTGTGTGTGTATATATATATATCATGTATTACCACACTAGAACATGTAAAGTATCAATGCAGTTAAAATTAAAAGTAAAAAGCTTCTGCTACTTATACAACACAGTGACCTTTGGGGCTTATTCAGTAATTAGTTCCCACATGTAAAAAAGTTTAATGTTAAAGAACAATACCCATCACTTTAAAGTTGTAGACAGCATAGAAATTTACAGAAAAGTTACAGACCACTTTACACAGCTGGAGGAAGAAAAGGGATTAACGTGTATCATGACTTTGAATACCTTTATGATCAAAATTAAATAACACACAAAAAAATCAAAACACATTTCACAGCAGGACCTGCAAAAATCTTTTTATATCAATCTTTTTGAACCATGAAAAAGAACAAATTAGTCTTGTTTTATAAGACTTTCAGGAACCAAAAATAATTTAATCATGAAATATCAGCTTGAAAATGAACATATTCTACCATCAGTATTGATTAGTGAATTGTGTTATCCAACAAGGTTGACAAATTCTAACTAGAATGAACAGGATCGAATTCATTAGTGACTATGTAAGTATTTTGAGCATACAAATAATTTCTGGTTTTATACCCACTATATTCCAGAATTCTGTAAACTGTGAGGTGTTCAATGTGTTTGATGTGGCAGAGGATTGTATTAAATGTTCCATTATTTTATTCTGTTCAGTCCTTTTCCCATTAAGCATGCAAACACCGTCATAACCATCTTTGGTTTCACTTCTACAAGGTCATCAGGTAATGCATATATCCGGGCACCGATCTTTCGAGCAACTGAAATGGCGTATCTTGAAGACAAAAAATATTTGGAGTATTTTTTAACACTGTGTTTTCATTTAAAATATTTTAACAAAAGAATGAACTATCTTGATAGGATTAATTTTACAAAAAGATTATGTTTATGAGTCTTAAATCATATTCCCCACATTAGTTTACTTAAAATGCGAATGTTAAGGACATAGTAATCTTTCCTGTGAAGATTTCAGAGAATTCAAAGGCCACTATGTTCTAATATAAAGTGTACAGGCTTACTTAGCATTATTAAGCTTGTCTTCATCAGAAAGGTTTTCTCTCTTGATCATTTCTTGACGTACTGCATTTGGTGCAATGGCATCTATTAAATCTAGTACAGGTAAACTAGTGCTAATAGATTTATCCTAAAAAATAAAGAATAGATAAACACTCATAAACATCTTATTTTTAATTTGCATAAATATCAGTCTTCTGGTCAGAGTCATATAATTGAAAGCAATCTATATATTTTCTTTGTACCTAACATTCAGCTTTTCTGCAACCAGCACACAACCATTTATAATATTTACGCAAACTATGACACAGAAAGATTTGTTACCATACCTGAATAAGATCTGTGGCTATGACAGTTCCTAAGTATGCTAACTATAGTATCATTTCTGTAAAAAAAATAAATACCCTAGGGACCAGCAGGTGGTATGGTGGTTAAAGTGCTAGACTCTCACATGGCTGACAGCGGACTGAATCCCAGATCTGGTGGCTTGCTTTCTCACTTTCTCTCTCTCTCTAGTAAGCACATGTACTGTATAGCAAATTTTAGAATAATAATCAGTTAAATCTTTTTTTAAAAGTAGCACTAAATATTTTAAAGTAAATAAATAATAAAATAAACATCCTCTGGAGCCATCAGGTGACATAGTGGTTGGGCATTGGGCTCCCATATAGCTGACTACAGTTTAAGTCCTAAACCTGTGGTTGCTTTCTTGCTTTCTCAGTTTCCTGCTCACCCTGTCTCTGATGAGCACATCTGCCTTATAGCAAAAATAACAATAAATAAAATTAAATAAATAATTCTTAAAAAAAAAAAAAAAAAACCTTTGAAAGAAAATAGGAGGACCAGCAAGTGACATGTTTGTTAAGATGGCTGACTGTGCAGTTTGAGTTCCCAGACCTGGCAACTTGAAAAACACACCAGGCATCTGTGTGCGCATGCCCACAAGTCAGGGAGGAGAAATAGAAAAGAAAGGCATTGTGGCATGGCCACCTCCATGGAGAGGTGCTTATTCACTTTCTCTCTCTCTCTCTCTCTCTCTCTAGCAAGTGCCTGTGTCTTCTAGCAAATTAATAAAAGAAAGAGAATAGATTTTTAAATTAATAATTTTAGAGACTCTAATAACATTTTATTTCTCAGACCATGAATTCCAAAGCCTTCACTTACTATTTTTAAGAAAAAAATGAAATAGTGAAAGGGAACTATTTCTAGATGCATTATCCTTATTGATATACATGTTTTACTTATTTAAAATTATTTTTTAATCCTAACATCCTGGTAATAAAGGAATAATTCCCTCCCCTCCCCCCTTTAAGGTTTTTGCTATACAGCATGTGTGCTCATGAGAGACAGAGACGGGGGGGTGGTGGTGGAGTGAGAAATCACTTCCCAGAGATGTCCACACTGCAGTCCCTTCCCCTCCAGTCTCGTCTCAGGATTCTGAGCATGTACATATGTCTGGGACTTAAACCGTGCAGCTGGCCATGTGGGATCCAGCACCTTAACCTACACACCAACTGCTGGCCCATAATTCCTCTTTTAAAGATGAAGAATATAAAGTTCTGAAATCTCAGAACAACTAGGAAGTACAGAATGAGTATTTGAACCTATAACAGTCTGACTCTTAACACTCAAGATTCTTCTCATTTTGAATTATTGAAAGTAATTTCTCACTCTCTCCCTTGCCCTCTCTCTCTGTCTTTTTAGGATGAACTAAGAATGGAAAACTAAATTCCAGTTGATAGAGCATTGTAACTGAAGTCAGAGATCCTGGTTTGAATTGATTTTTGTACTTAGCAGTAAAATTATTTGTCCTCTCTCTCAACTAGAGTAACAACCTCTGTTGCTTGCCCATGCAGCATCCACCACTCCTCACTTCTTCTCTATCCTAACAGAACACTCTTAGTTTTGCTCTCCATACGTCCCTCACATGATCACGTGCTTCAAGGAAAGCAGGCCCCATCTCTCGCTCTAGGAATGAACCTGAATAGCCTAGGCCATATATTCTCAATGGAGACAGGGTGATAGACTTACTCTTTTTAATGCATAAAGCGTACAGTGTATAAACGTGTATACTATATGTCAGAATTAAAATATGACAAAGAAAGGGGCCATTAGGGGAAAAAATGACTAAAAAAGACTCTTGAGGGAGACAGTAATGAGAAAAGGTTGAAAAACACTGGGCTAAGCCAAACACAGTAAGCCCATACTACTGCCGCAGTGACTGAATTTCTATGTAGTTTAAGTAGGCTATGGAAAGCCAGTAACTCCTCCTTCTGGATGTGAAAAAGAAGATGAAACCTTCTTCACAGCCAGCAGCTAGCCAATGGCCAAGAGGAAAGTCAGCTTTAGGGTGAAGCTGGCATATTAGATAGCAAAGCAGAGATGAGACAAAGCCTGAGTCCTGGATGACATTCTTCAGTTATTGGCTCAAACAATCCTCAGTTCTAGCCTACTTTTGGTTTTCTGTTATTGTAGTCAGTCCCTTCTCTTTTGGTTTAAACCGCTTTAAACTGGGGTTTCCCTTTCCTAATCTCTAAAATGGGAATGCCATAGAATATTCAGCTATATTATTAAGATAATATAAGTGTAAGTAAGTAAAATTCTTAGCCAAATGTAGGTTTTAATAAATATCTGTCTGATAAAACAACTTGAAGCCACATGAAAATGAGTAACACATGGGACCAGCAGTTAGCATAATGGCTATGTTGCTGAACTCCCATGTAGTAGACTGCGATTCAAGTCCCGGACCCAGTGGCTTAAACTCACACTGGGCACGTGTGTGTGCGTGCCCAAGATCCCGAGAGGAGAATGGAGGAGAAGGGATTGTGGCATGGCCATCCCTCCCGGGGGGTGATTTCCTGCTTTCTGTCTCTCTGATGAGTGCACGTGCCCTATAGCAAAACAAACAAACAAAAAAACCTCTCAACCCAAGAAAAAAAAAAAAAAAAAAAAAAACCCCCAAAAAAAAAAAAAAAAAAAAAAAAAAAAAAAGAATAACAGAGACCATGATCTATGTACCAATACACTGATAGATTTTAGAAAAAATTTATCTTCTTGGGACCAGCAGTTGGCGTAATGGCTATGTTGCCATGTAGTTGACTGTGGTTTGAGCCCCAGAACTGGTGGCTTAAACTCTCGCTGGGCGCATGCGCATGCATGACCAAGATCCCAGGAGAAGGGATTGAGGTGTGGCCATCCCCCCTGGGAGGTGATTTCTCTCTTTCTGACTGTCTTTTTCTGGCAAGTACACGTGCCCTATAGCAAAAACCTCTCAAAAAAAAAAAAAAAAAAAAGAGAGAGAAAGAAAAATTTATCTTCTTCATTATCAGAAATATTAATTTTATAATATAGATCTCTGAGAGGGTAGAGATGGATGGTAATTAAGGCCTTTGAGTCTATCTGATGCTGGTAATCTGAATCTGGCTTTTTGGCATCTCTAATTCTGCAAAACCCTCATATCTGTTTTTGCAGTGTACAGCTTGCAGAACACCTACAATGAAAATCACCATGGATTTCTGTTACATAAAAATTTCTGGGTCAGCCCCATACCCAAAGGATCAGAGAAGTTGTACTCCACATAGCCTACCACATTTCAAATCCCAGCCCCAGTAGCTCAAAAAATATGCTAGTGCTTGTGTATACATGCCCAAAATCCCAACAGGAAGAAAAAATGGAGGAGAAAGGACGATGGCGTGACTGTGCCTTACTAGGGTTGCTTTCTTCCTTTCTCTCTTTGCATCTTTCTGGTGCATACATGTGCCCTCTACCAATTACAAAAAAAAAAAAAAAGGTAGAAAAAATGCAAATTTCATCCCACTCTTAAATTAATAAATCAGATATTCTATTGATAAGACTGGGAATCTATATTTTAAATTAGCTTTCTAGATGACTCTAATATATACCATTATACTTTCTAAAAATAAACTTGATATTTACATCATTCTAGAATAAATTTAAAATTTTTATGGCCAGCCAATGGCATAATAGTTAAGGCAGCTGGATCCATTTGGCCAACTGTGCGATTTGAGTCCCAGACTCAGAGGCTTGAATGTACATGTGTGCCCAGGATCCTAAGAGGAGAATGGAGGAGAAGGAACTGCAGCGTGGCCATCACCCCATCACTTTATTTCTATCTCTAGCAAACATATGTGCCTCATAGCAAAATTTTAAAAAAATAAAATTTATAGGCTTATCTTTCATGTATAGGGCGCATGCACTCGCCAGACAGACAGAGACATAGAGACAGAAAGTAAGAAATCACCCCCCAGGGGGGATGGTCACGCCGCAATCGCTTCTCCTCCATTCTCCTCTCAGGATCTTGGGCACGTGCACACACACGCGCTCGGTGTGAGTTTTAAGCCACCGGGTCTGGGACGCGAACCGCAGTCAACTACATGGGAGTCCAGCGACATAGCCATTACGCCAACTGCTGGTTCCCCTTTTCATGTATTTTTATGAGAATTCACAGATAAGTGGCTTGTTTAACTGTGCTATTTTGATTACTTGTTTACATACTTGTGGTGTTTTAAATATTTCTCCATGTAGATTTAAGAAATGAGGAGGGTTTTGTTTTGTTTTGTTTTGTTTTTTCCCATCTCTTTCCACATGATTCACCTTGGAAAAGCTTTTACTAAACTGAATGAAAATTTTAGGTTTCTATATACAATGTCAGATCCGTTACTCTCTTGTTTTCAGAAATACAGGCCTATCTTCCAACTCTTCGGATTTGCATATTCTCAATGAAAGCTTACTTTTGCAAAGGGATAAGGGTACATTTCCACCATTTTTTCCTTTACTCTCAAGTTAGTCATAAAGAAATTACTAAAGCAGAAAGAATTTCTGGAATCTTTAAGAGAATTAGCCTATTTTGATTCTCAAAATAATGAATTGTATCATCTCTTTCTGTTCATCCGATACATACTATGATTAGAACACTCTGTCCTGTTCTGTTATTTGAAATAAAAGCACCCATTCCTAATTCTCTAAAATGGGAATGCCATAGAATTCTTAGCAATATTAGTAAGATAATATCATTTAAAAATAGTAAGAGTGGGAAACCAGTTATGTGACCACCAGAGTTCCCTGTAAAGCTCAAGAAGAACTTGATGCCCTTATGTAAGGGGGTCTTCAAAAAGTTCATGGAAAATTCATATTATGAAAAAACTATAAGTAGATTTCAACTTTTCTCCCTACAAAAATAAGCTTACTGTTTTTTTGTTTTGTTTTGTTTTTGTTTTTTTGTTTTGTTTTTTTGAGAGGTTTTTGCTGTAGGGCGTGTGCGCTCACCAGAGAGGCAGAAATCACCTTCTCCCCGCCCCAGGGGAGATGACCACATTGCAATCCCTTCTCCTCCATTCTCCTCTCAGGATCTTGGGCACACACACACGCACACACACACCTGGTGTGAGTTTAAGCCACCAGGTCTAGGATTCGGACCATGGTCGACTACATGGGAGTCCAGCAATGTAGCCATTATGCCAACTGCTGGTCCCTAAGCTCACTTTTTAAAAAATAAAATTTGCTTGAGGGTGTGTGTGTTCACTAGTGAGAGAAAGAAAAAAATGATAAAGCATCTCCCATGGCGGATGACCATGCTGCAGTCCCATCTCCCTTTCTCCTTTGGTGGTTTTAGGCACACACGTACCCACAGCCAGAGCTGAAAATATTTAGTTATAGCACTTCCTTGCTTATGATTAATATGTTCTTCTTAGTGCCACTTATCCTAGCCTTAAACATATTGCCTTCTCTGGTTTGAAAAAGCCTCCCCACCCCATTTTTTAAAAGTATTTACTGCCACATGCTTAACTATTTGCATTCTCTGAAGATTTTATTATTGAGCTCATACTAAATGTCAAGAGGTATTGCAATATGTCTCTGCCTCTTCAATTTGAAATAAAAACCTTCTCTTAAATCTGCTCTTCTCTGAGCACTCTCCCTGAAAGGCTTTGTGTACTCCTGATTTTCAACTACCTTTTTTATTGAACTGATCACCAAGTCAGTGTGCCCAGTTTTAATGTCTCCTTTCATCAAACTTCCCATTTTCTAAAAATTATCTCAGATTTAACAATTTTAAAAACTGAATTCATGGAGCCAGCAGGTGGAATGGTGGTTAAAGCACTGGATTCCCACATCGCCAACCACAGCTCGAATTCTTCTGATGACTTGAAAATCATGCCAGGCATATGTACATGTGTGCCCAAGATCCCGAGAGGAGAATAGAGGAGAAGGGATTGCAGTGTGGCCCTCCTCCCTGGGGAGGTGATTTCTCACTTTCCCTCTCTCTGTCTCTCTCCAGGCTGGCAAATCCACACAACCTACGGCAAAAATCTTTTAAAAACCCCGAAAAACTGAATCCACCACCTTTTCCAGAAAGCACGTGTACTTTCTTATATCTCCATTTCTGTTAGTGTTACCAACTCTTTTCCAACTCCCCTGGAATTTTGACTCCTTTCTCTCCTGTTTTTGCCTATATTAGGAAGGCAAGTCCACAGGACCAGCAGGTGACGTGATGGTTAAAGGCACTGGATTCCCACATGGACAACCACAGTCCCAGACCTAGTAGCTTGCTTTCTCACTTTCCCTTTCTCTCTCTCTCTCTGGTCAAATTAAAAAATGATAATAACAAATGGAATTAATTAAATAATTCCTTTAAAAAAAAGAAAAAAGAAGGCGGCAAGTCCTAGCTGTTTCTTCCTAATATGTCACAGCTATCGGCTCATACCATTCCTAGTCCCCATTCCCAATCCCCACCCTGTTTGAACCCTTATCACGTCACCCCTGACTCCTACCATGGATTCTTATGCACTGTCCTTGCACTTTGGCCACTTTCCCTCCAAACCATCCTGATCACCAAGTTCAAATGAGTCTTCCCAAAACAATTGCAGTTTTATTCCATTACTCTCATTATTCAATATCCAGTTCTGACATTGGGCCAAATTCCTCCACAACCTTGACCTAGTGTGTATCCTGCATGACATCGCTTAGGAACCTCCCTAGTCAAGCCCTTTCTCCTAATCTTCTCAGACTTGTCTTTATTCAAGGTGGACCCTAGCTTGTTATATCCTCCTCCTCTTTTTCTCTACCAATTCAAATCCCTTCTCTATGATGTTCAAATCAAATCCAGCTTTTTCCATCTACTCTTCCCTGACCATCCAATAGGAAATGACACACTAGACTCCTCATCCATGGAATTAGTTCCTTGGATTTTATCATGTATTTGTAGTACTGTTACCTTCTCAGTTATACAGGTTTTATCTTTCAAATAAGGGGTGAACACCCTGAGGGCCAAAATAATTTTTATGCTTTATGGCTTTTCATTTACCTAGGAAAGTTACTTATAGCAAGAGCTCAGTAAACACTAACTTGTTCCTAAATATTTTCTCATTGTATTTGGTTATCCACATGCTTATTATTTTTCATCAATTAATGTGCAAATGCATATCATTTCCATATAACTATTTTAAAGAGTAACTGCCAGTTAGAGAATTTTATAATACACCCCCATTCCTCTTTTACATTTTTAAGTTGTGTTTTATGTCTAAAACATATAGAGGAAAAACCATGGACTGACAGTTACTTACTTTAATAAGCAACAACAAAAATTCAATGCCATTAGTTCCTTCCAACATAAAGAAAAGGGGCGGGGGGAGCACTTGAATTGGGACAGGACTCAGGCAGCATCTCTACCTGCATCCAGCTGTCCTACTGAAAGTACTATGGACCTCAGTTTTTGGTAAAAATGAGAAGACTGAATTTATAAATTTCTGACATTTCTTTTATTCTACAATGTTGTTAAACATACACCATCAAGAAGAATAAAGATGAGTAGATATCCTTTAGGTAACTTAATGTTTCATCTGTCTGCACCTTTTTATTTCACTAAAAAAATACAAATCAATGGCAGGTTTTTCACATATAATAAAACCCCACAAACACAAAGCTCACTGAATGAATGTGTACAAGCAGACATGCTTATTTGTAGCTAATATCAGCTTGCATGCAAAAGCAAAACACGATGGAAATGCATGAAAATTAGTGGGTATGTATGTGCAGATTACATTTTGAGTGCTTTATGAATCATCCACAAATGCTCGGAAGTGAGTGTTAAGTGCCATTACGAAGCCAGATGACAAGATATTTTTTTTTTCCTACCAGTTTTCTCAATTCCCATTTGAAGCGGTTTGGCTGGCTCTGTTATGCCTTGGAAATGATGTCAATACAATTCTGAGACTGCTGCCAGGGAGCACAAAACATTATAGGTCCTACATAAACAATGGCCTTTTAATCTTTCTTTTTCATTTGACAATTGGATTTTTTTTTTTGTATTAACCTGCAGTTATACTCAATAGGACAACCAATCAATATAACAATTCAAACTATTTCTAATTTACACATGCCAAATAATTAATATGCCTAAACTCATAAATTGTGTGTTTCTGAGATACCACATTAATATAATCGCAAACCTAACCAATGTAATTCCCAATAGAAATTCCTTCCTAAACGTATATAAAAAAAATTCCAAATGTTCTTGATTACCTTGAAGCTGGAAATAAAGGTTTTTTTGTTTGCACTTTTAAGAGTCTGATTGACCCATTTAATAATAATTTCATCATTTACTTTTTCACCCTCTCCAAGATCTGATAACACATTCAATGTGTACCTGTAACAAAAAAGATGTATATTTGAGACTGAAGTTTGCGTAACAGTTCAATTGTGATAAATATTTCTAATTTTAGTCTGGCACTTGCACTGGATTACATTCCAAAGTTACAAAGCTCACTATTCAGAAACAAAAGCTACTTTATGGTATTTTAAAAATTTAAAACAACTTCTGACAATGCCATTTTTAAGAGTCATTAATAAAATTGATGGTGTTTCTAGAGACTGACCCATCTTAAAATAAAATATAATTTATAAAAATACATATTCTACAGTCAATTCTCTACAAATTAATATATTTTACATTAACTATTTCTCCCATGTTCATTATTCTTTAAAAATAGCTAGTGGGGCTAGCAGGTGGCGTGGTGGTTAAGGGCACTGGCCCACATGGCCAACTGCAGTTCGAGTCCTTGACCTGGTGGCTTGCATACTCACCTTCCATTTCTCTCTCTCTCACTCTGTCCTTCTCTGGTCTAAATAGATAGATAGATAGATAGATAGATAGGTATTTAAATAAATAAATAAAGTTAAATAAAATAATTCTGTTTAAAAAATAGCTGAAAACTTAGTTCATATGACTTCTGAAGGAAATTGACAGTGTGGCTGTCAATACGTCAGTCCTTACCTTCTCATCAGCTGCCATACCAAGGCCAGAGTAAGTGTTGAATTCCCTTCATTCAGGTCCTGCCCAGCAATGCCAACCAAGGAGAATTTGGCTTTATTCTTCCCAAGTTCCACGGCATAGTTACAGTTTTCAATCTATAAATAGAGTTTTGGTGTAAAAACAGATTTTTTTCCCAAACATATCTCCTAAATATGATAGCCTAGCTCAGACTTATGAAAAATAATGTTGATGATGCCTTAAATTTATATGAGCAAATTTCATTTTATAATAAAAGCTCAGTGGCTGCAAAGAAATAATTAGTCTTATTTCATAGTTGAAGGTTTCAAAGCACTGAGGGGTTAACCTAGACAAAGGAACGACTGGCTAGAAAGTTTGAAAATCTCCTCCTAACCTAAAAGTCTTGACTAACCAAGATTAGTCCATTTACTAGTGGCAAATCTGAGACTAAAACCCTAGATTTCCTGCATTCTATTAATAGAGGTTAAAAAAAAATACTGATCTATCTAGATTTAAAATTAAGAAATAGAGAAGTAAGTAATTGTTTCATTAAGAATCTAACTCCAGGGACCAGCAGATGGCATAATGGTTACGTCGCTGGACTCCACGTCGTCCACTCTGGTTTGAGTCCGGGACCCAGTCCAGTGGATTAAAACTTACACAGGGTGTGTGTACACATGTGCTCAAAATCCTGAGACAAGTGTGGAGGAGACGGGATTGCAACATGGCCAACCCCCCCTGGGGAGGGGCGATTTCTCACTTTCTTTATCTCTGTCTCTCTGGTGAGCACAAATGCCCTACAGCAAAAATCTCTCAAAAAAAAAAAAAAAAAAAAAAAAAGAATCTGCCTTCATCTCTCATATTTATCTAGGTCTTAATTATCCTCCGAAATACAGCTTCTGGCCCACTTTCTTCCACAAAGGTCTCACTTTCACTGTACCAGCTGTTAACAATCCCTCCCTCTAAACTCCTTAAAATGCTTATTGTGTAATGCTTATGCACAACTTCTACTTATATTTAGCCTTTCAGGTGTTTTCATTTGCCCACCCTCCTATGCGTTCCTTTTAAAGGACCAAGAACTTTTTGTGCACAGATTTATATAATACTCTCCCTACACCCAGCCTAGGGCCCAGCACAGTATCCTGTCCTGCCTGCAGAAAGAATCTTATGCATAAACACTAAATTATTTACCATATACCTACTTCTTGCCAGTGATATAAGTCTAGTTTATTTGGTAAGTTTCTTTTTGGTCTACCCTAGCCTGTATAGAGTGAAATTTTAACATCTTACAGTCTTGTAATATCACCAGAAGGTAAAATTGCTAAGTATACTTCTCAAAATAAAACAAACATTTAATTAAGAAAAACAGTATGACTGATTTATTTTCATTTTCCTTCTAAATTCTCATTATAAAATAATTTTTTTTAATATATATATTTTATTTTGCTTACTATTTTTAATTGGGAGAGAGAGAGGAAGGGAAAGTGAGAAAGCAAGCCAACAGGTCCAGGACTCAAACTGCAGTCAGCCACGTGGGACTCTGATCTACCCTGCGCCTTAACCCACCACGCCACCTGCCAGCCCCAAAACAATTTTTTTTATTTGCTAGAGGGTGCGTGCACTTGCCAGAGAGAGATGCTGTGACAGAGAGAGAGACAGAGAGAGAGAGAGAGACAGAGAGAGAGAGAGAGAGAGCGCACACTCTCCAATGGGGGTAGTCATGCTGCAATTCCTTCTCCTCCGTGGCTCTATACTGTCAGGATTTTGGACAGGTGCCTGCACTCAGCACATTTTTCAAGCTGGAAAGCCAGGATTTGAACAGTGGTTAACCATGTAGGATCTGACTACATTAACTACTAAGCTACGGTGTAGCCTGAGCGTGTATTAAAGTCTTACATTCTTAAACTTTAGAGAGGAAATGAACAGGACCAGCAGGTGGCATGGTGGTTAAAGGCACTGGTCTCCTACATAGCCAACTGTGCTTCAAGTCCCAGGACCAGAGACTCGAAACTCAGACCAGGCACACGTGTGTATGTGTGCCTGTTCCAAATCCCAGGAGGAGAATGGAGGATAAGGGAATATGACATGGCCATCCCCCTGGGGGGTGATTTCTCACTTTGCTTCCTCATTGTCTCTCTCTGTCTCTCTGATGAATACACACACCCTATGGCAAAAACTTTTTTAAAAAGAGGAAGGAAATGAACCTGAAACAAAAGGGAAAAAGGAAAAGCAAAACCAAACTGAAGTGAAGTATTACAAAGGCAATTCAACGGAACAAATATGAATACTATGCCATAGCACACTACAGACTTCTGTTTAGAGTCCTAAATCTGGCAGCTTAAAACTCAGGCTGGGAATGTGCGTGTGTGCCCAGAAACACAAGAGGAGAATGAAGCAGAAGGGACTGTGGTATGGCTGTTCTCCCTGGGGGGGTGATGTCCCACTTTCTGTCTCTGTCTCTCTATGCTTCTCCAGTAGTCACACACACCCTATAGCAAAAATCTCTCTTTAAAAAAATTTTCTATCCAGGACCAGCAGTTAGCATAATGGCTATGTCACTGGACTCCCACATAGTTGACCGTGGTTCGAGTCCCGGACCTGGTAGCTTAAACTCATGCCGGGCATGTGGCCATGTGTGCCCAAGATCCCAAGAAGAGAATGGAGGAAAAGGGATTGTGGCATGGCCATGCCCCCTGGGGGGTGATTTCTCGCTTTCTGTCTCTCTGCCTGTCTTTGTCTGTCTGGCGAGCGCACGCACCCTATAGCAAAAACCTCTCCAAAAAAAGAAAAAATAAATTTCTATCCATTACTCAAGATTTAATGCAGATACTACCTTTTGCATGAAACCTTTTGTGGTTAAGTGTAACTTGTGGTCTTTTCTTCCTTAGAACTGTAATACTCACTTTTGCTTACATTGCACTGTATTATAGCTGTTTGCATACATCGATTTTTTTTAAGATTTAATTTTATTTATTATTATTATTTTTAAATTTGCTATAGGACACATGCACTCACCAGAGAGAGACAGAGAGACAGAGGCAGAGAGATTAAAGTGAGAAACCCATCTGCCAGTTCTGGGACTTGAACTGCGGTTAGCCATGTGGGAGTCTAGTGACCCAACCACCATGCCACCTGCTGGCCCCTACATATGTGTTATAGCTCCCCGATTTCTTTAGGGCTTCCTAAATGCCAACTTTATGGCTTATACTTTTTTATACCCTGCACTGCATCTATAGGTAGTAGGTAATCAATAAATATCTGCTGAATAAATGAGTAACTGGCCAGTAAAGAGCCAGCAAGTTACAGTGATTATAAAATAGCAGTACACTTAGGGTGCATCTTAAAGACAGTAAGTTCTACAACTTGCTAAAAATGAAGCAATTTAATAGAAAGTGCCTAAATAAGACTGTTTTCAAGTAAACTTGTAAAAAAGCTATTAATACATTCTGTTGGATAGTCGGGAAAGTTATGGCACATTTATGTGTAAAAAGGAAAAATAGGTAACGACTTTCTCAACAACGTAATCATTTAATTCAGAACTACAAGAAAAGACCACACTTTACCAAACTTTATGAAACTAAATCCTGTATTATATGAGAACTTTCATGGTACTGCATCATTCACCTTCTTCATGTTCCCTCCAAGAGCAGGATAAGGAGGTTTGTTGACATGGCTCCAGTTGACTGGCACCCGAATCATTTCATAGAGTTGAAAGATCACTAAAGCATCTGCAAGGTCACTAAAACAGGAAAGAAAAGCAAATGAGAAAGTAAACACTGGTACTACTAAATCATATTAAGTACATTGGAGATGGATTATTGTCTTTAAAAAATATGCTAGGGATATTTAATGCTTAAAGAATGTTTAAAGGACCTATCATTTTGACCCAGAACTTCCAAATTAATAATCTCTCCAATATTTTTCAGAAATGTTTACAAAGATCCATGTATAAGGCCATTTATTCAAGGCCACAGTATTTATAATTTCCAAAACAACTTAAATGCCTGGCAATAAAGGACTATAGAGTAAATTATCCAGATATACCATGAAGTCCTGGGCCTTCATTAGATAGAGTAAGATATGTCTGTATGTATTGTGATAAAAAACAAAAAGCTTTATAAGACATGAAGTTTTCAAAAGCAAGTGACAGAACACTTCATTCAGTTTGATCTCATTTATTAAAAAAAATGAAGTCAATGCATTTATATACCTATATATACTAAGAACTGTTAATAGTGATTATCTTTGGACTAGGAAAAGGAAGTCTGGGGGCCAGCAGGTGGTGGTGTGGTTAAAGGCGCTGGATTCCCACATGGCCAACCATGGTTCAAGTCCTGCACTGGTGGCTTGCTCTCTCTCTGGTCACATAAATAACAATAATAATAATAATAACAACAAATGGAATTAAGTAAATAAATCTTTTTAAAAAAAGAAAGAAAAAGGAAGTCTGAGAACAATAAGGGGAGAATTTTATTTTATTCTTTTCTATATACTTACATATTTCCTGGAACTTGTTCAGTGAGAATGAGCTCATGTATTACTTATGTATTATGATTTTTTTAATTAAAAAAAATTATAGGAAAACCACAATAGCTACTCAGTAGGCAGTTGTTCGTGTTCAGTAATGAAGGCTAGGAGGAAAGAATTTATAAGCAAGTAGGAGTTACGGAAGTAAGAGTAATATGGTACCACTTTGGATTCAGAAAAAATACTTTGTCCTGAGAAGCTTTAAGTATGTCTGTAGAGTCGGTTCAGTTCTTAATGCTAAGAACATTAAGCAATAGCAACTGATTTTTTAAATTGCTACTTGTGTGCTGAATTATGTGACTTTTTTCCTCCAACAGCTTACCTTCTGAGTTGTGTTTTGCTAAGATTCACATTAAAGTCACTCTACATTCACTGAATAATTAACATGGCAATGAACAGGGCCATCCCCTGTGCTGAGTGATAGAGGGAGAAACTCTAATATAAAGGTAAAGATCTGACTAGGTTCTCTGTAAGCACATGAAACATCTTGTATTAAAAAATCATAAAAGTAGGGAGGGACAGCAGTTAGCGTAATGGCTATGTCGCTGGACTCCCATGTAGCTGACCGTGGCTCGAGTCCTGGAACTGGTGGCTTAAAACTCACGCTGGGCACGTGTATGTGCATGCCCAAGATCCTAAGAAGAGACTGGAGGAGAAGGGATTGCAGCATGGCCATCCCCTGGCGGGGTGATTTCTCACTTTCTAGATCTCTGTCTGTCTCTGTCTTTCTGGCAAGTGCACGTGCCCTATAGCAAAAACCTCTCAAAAAAAAAAGAAAGAAAAAGAAAGAAAGAAAGAAACAAACAAACAAACATACATGCTGGACTCCTGTGTCTGCCTGCCCAAAATACCTGATGGGAGAGTGGACTGTGGCGTGGCCATCCCATCTTGGGGGGTGGGGGGGATTCTTACTTTCTCTGGTGAGTGCATGCCTTATAGAAATGCTTTAAAAAAAGAAAGAAAGAAATATATTCAAAAAATATAGAATTTTGAGTATGTTTTTAAAAGTTTTTACTATAGGGCACATCTGCTCACCAGAAAGAAAAACAGAGGAAAAATGAGAAATGAGAAATCATCCCCCTCGGGGTGGCGGGCCATGCCACAATTGCCTCTCCTCCTCTCTCCTCTAGGGATCCTGGGCATATAAGCACACACACTGGCATGATTTTCAAGCCGCTGGGTCCAGGACTCAAACTAGGCAGGTAGCAAAAGGTTTTGGCAAAAGTAAATGAAAAATATGAATTATAATGAAAAATAATGATATAATAAGAACAATGTACCAAATATTATTTTTATAATGTATTAAAGGTAAAATAACATTATTTTCATGACTAGTAACTATGAAAGAGTATAATTATCTTCACTGAATAATTTATATCATCAAAATGTGTAACTATTATCATGTTCTTACCTTTTTAAACAATATTTATTTTTTATTTTTTTGGAGAGGTTTTGGCTATAAGGCGCATGCGCTCGCCAGACAGAGAGAGAGAGACAGAGAGACAGAAAGGGAGAAATCACCCCCCGGGGGGATGGCCATGCCGCAATCCCTTCTCCTCCATTCTCCTCTCGGGATCTTGGGCACGCATGCACACGCGCCCGGAGTGAGTTTTTTAAACCACCGGGTCTGGGACGCGAACCGCAGTTGACTACATGGGAGTCCAGCGACATAGTCATTATGCTAACTGCTGGTCCCAAACAATATTTTTATTTTAAAATCCATTATATTGGGCTATGCCAGTGACGTGGTTAATTGTCTGGATCTCACAGCTGACAGAGTCCCAGACATGGCAGCTTGAAAAATATGCCAGGTGTATGTGCACATGGGCCCCAAGTCCCAAAAGCAGAAATGGAGAAGAGACTGTCGCATGACTGTTCCCCATGGATAATTTCTCATTCCCCTTCTCTCTCTCTCTCTCTCTCTCTCTGGTAAACATAAACATAAAAAAAAAAAAAAAAAAAAAAAAAAAAAAAAAACTCTTGTGGGAGCCAGCAGGTGGCATGCTGCTTAAGGGCGTTGGACTCCCACATAACCAACCACAGTTCAAGTCCTGGACCTGCTTTCTCCTTTTCTCTCTCTCTTACTCTGTCCCTCTCTGGTGAAATTAAAATAAATAAGTTAAAAAAAAAAAAACCCTTGTATTTCCAATTCCCAGTATTCAGAAACTCTAAATTTTGACTTAAATTCTTATGACTTGAGAAACTGTTCTCAGGTAGACTTACCTACAATTTGAAACTTGAAAAGCTGGTCCCTGATAGTAAAGTTGAAACACAATAAAATACTTACCTGTACAAATGATTAATATATGGGTTGACCCCCAAGGAATTCATCCAGTTCCGGAATGTCCTCTCTTCCTTGCTCTCTCCTAGAGTAGACACAAGTTTATACTGATGATTTCAGACAAAAGGAATCAAGAACTATTTTTTAAAGTCATTCCGGCAGATATAAACTGGCCATACATACTTTGCCATGGTTCTTGGGTTCTTTACTACCAATTTCTTTAGAGGAACAAAACTCTTACTGTCCAAGTCCCTTTTCCCTGCTGTCTAGAAAGCCTCCACTTGCTCTAAATCTCTCCATCTATCAATAAATTTCTTTATTTGATGTGTAAACTAGTATTGGGTCATAGGTTTCTCTGTCCAGGAGTGTATCTGGTGAACTTACACAGTCTGTAGTAATGATCTTTCAGTGGTCGGGGTAATATTAGCACGTAAATAGAAAAGCTCTACCTTTCTCAGTACACTGCTTCTAAATTTGTACAGATTATGGTTTTATACAAAAAAGTTTCTTGGCACACAAACCTATACTTTAAACCAAACAATAAAGCAGATAATGGACTACAAGGAATATATAAACAGGCAACGAGGAGGTATCTCATTTAGGCTTCCTGGGTTCTTTTGGATCGCCACTGTTGAAAATACATACTAACACAAACCTCACACAGGGGGCTTTTTCATTGCAGTAAATTCCGAGACGTCAGGCATCACCCTGAGGAGGTAACACTGGCAGGAAACGCTCACATCTAACCTGTGAGAACTCTCCCTCCCTGGGCATTCTCTCCCAGCAGTGCTTCCACTGCCTGGCAGGAAACTATGGGCAATGGTGTATCACGAAGGGGACAGGGCAATGGGACTTCCCAGCCGCATCTGCCTTCTGGTCATCTCCCGGTTATAGTCATAAGGACGAACTGCAACATCAGTGTTTGTTCTTCACCGAAGTTAGGGACAAAGGAATGATCTGGCCGACATCCTATCACTAGACTCCCAGAAAAATGAAACAGTGCACTACCTATCTCTTACAAGCCATAAGCAAGTTGAATTCACTCTCTAGAGTTCAGCCCATCTGAGACGCTCAGAACAATGTCTAAGCTTCAAGGGCCCATTCTCACAGAGCCACCTCTGCTGTCGCCTTCAGACTACGTGCCTCAGGTAGCAGGAGTCTGCAAAGCCAGATTAAGAACCCTCACCTGGGGGACCAGCAGTGAGCGTAATGGCTATGTCACTGGACCCCCATGTAGCTGACCGTGGTTCGAGTCCTGGACCCGGTGGCTTAAACACACGCCGGGCGCGTGTGTGTGCGTGCCCAAGATCCCGAGAGGAGAATGGAGGAGAAGGGACTGCAGTGTGGCCATCCCCCCGGGGCGTGGTTTCTCACATTCTGTCTCTCTCTGTCTTTCTGGTGAGCACACATGCCCTATGGCAAAAACCTCTCAAAAAAAAAAATCAATAAAATAAAAAAAAGGAACCCTCACCTGGGAAAATCTAAAGGACTGTTAGTCATGCCAACTATTCAGGAAATAAACTGCCTACTGTGTTTTCTAGTGGTTTTCAATCTGGGCTTTCTCAGAATATGTTTAATTCTGCTTCTTTAAATTATATAGCCATATAACTTATTGCTAAAATTTTCTCTCTGTTCTACATAAAAGGTAACAGATCAGTCCGTTGGACCTGCCACAACCATTTTATAATATACCTTGGACACAAGCGTCTCTCTAAATAAAGAACCAAGATAAACTAAATATTCCAAAAGTCCATGCCTACCTTGTTTGTAAGAGTTATTAAACAGATGTAAATTAAATCTCGGAGTTGTCCCCAAGGTGACATATGGCTTGGACTTATTTTTCGATTGTTTCTTGATTACTATCTGTTATAATGCTGGGTATATAACTGTTTCCTAGTAATTAGTTTTTACATTAGTTCCAGCTAGGAGAATCCAAATTATGCCCAAAATGATGAAGAGTAACAATGTCACCTGGTTTAATTTCTAATAAAATATCCAAATTCTAAATATCCCAATGCTGCGGAACCTAATGCGATAGCAGATAATATTTTAAAAGACAGTAAACTTCATTTTGATTGAGTTCTGAAACTATTATTAACTTCATAAGTTCATATTTCTTCCTGTTGTTCTTAACTAATTATATAATTATCATTGTAATTTTTGAGACCTAGACAGTAAAATAGGTTTTATAAGTGAGTATTTATTTAAAACCATTTCAAGTTGTCTTGGAAACTGTCTCAAAGCTAGAAGCAGTATGCATTTGTCCAAGAGCCATGGCAAAGTATTACAAAAACATATGTATTCCAGACTGGAGTTCCAGATTATTTCATTATAAAATAATCTTAGAAATGAAATCTTATTTGCTGGTCCATAAGATAGAACTATAAGCCATCCCTTTCATTTGCACAGTCAAACTGACATCTGCAACTGATGAAACTTTCAATGAAAATAATAAATATATTAACAGGAGGCTACTAAGAGGAAAGAGAAGGAGCTCACACGTGTGATACTCAATGCATGTGATTTGTGGGAGCTTCCTCCTGCCCTGGCCCTTAATAAGCACATACTGCATGCTAAACTCTCTCATTCATGATCACATTTAACTTGCTCAGTAATTCCTCAAAGTATTATTAGTCCTGTTGTATATATGAAAATACCAAGGCTCATAGCAGTCACTCAGATACTAAACGGTGGAACAATGATTTGAACGCAGTCTGTCTAGTTCCACGGTCTGGGTACTTTCGTTTTAAAACCACAAATGAATTCTGCTATGGTTTCTCTGTATGTAGCCCATATATGTGGTTTAATTTGATATGGAAGTTTGATATTTAATGGGACTTTTAGTTTTCTTTAATTCCCTAGAGATAAAATTCTCTGCCAGTGAGGACATAACTAACATATGAATTTGATAAGATCAAGCTTCAAAGTTCATAAAGATCTATTAAAAAAAAAACAAATTTATAGCAGAAAATATTCCAATGACAGCAAAAGTCAAATACATTTTGGGCAGATATATCAGGACATACATATGTTCTAAATAAAGATGATTGATAAATATTTCCCACGGTATCTTCTTAACAGAGTAAATACTAATGGAAACATTTAGCAATCCTGTTCACACTGAAAAATTCCAAAAGCATGCTGAACACTAGCAAAAGAATTCAAACGTGACAAATAGAGCGAGCAAGTTGGGAAAGAGATCTAGCAAGAACTCAGTGACTATAAAAAGCAAATCATTTTTAATATGCCACTCTAAACAATGCCTTCTACTTTAAGACAGAGGGATTTTGAAATCTTCCAGACTGATAAAAACTTAGCAGTCTTCCTTTTCACTTAATTTTTTTTTAAGTCCTAATCTCTCACCCTAAATTTCTCTTTGTTGTAAAATCTAGATTTTTGTCTGTTTTCCCTCTCAGTTACATATGTACATAGAGAATAGTATGTGTTTTATTTTACTGGTCCCTTAGGAACAGTGGACTGAATTAATCAGATTCCTCAAAGAATATACTTGTTGAAACCTAACACCCATTTCATTAATCACAAAACTGTAATCGTGAAGTGACAAGGACACTGGAACTCTGTGGCAGTCAAAGAGAAAAAGATCCTGAAATGAATTGCTCATGATGTCTGGCCGGGGAAGGAGAGAGTGAGGGTGGGTTATACAAGAGAATGAACATGGCATCATCAAATTCTCTACCAAAAATACTCGGAGACATCCTTCTCTAAATCAGGGCAGCTAGGAAGAAAATCTTGGTATTGGTATTTCCCCTTCCTCTGATACCTGGCATCAGTCCTGCCACTGTTTTACTTTTTTCAGTTCTGATATTAGCATTGTTATTGGTGTACGTGTGGGTAACGGTGTGAGAAAGAGAGAAGACAGAAAGGCAGGCTGGGAAACAGATAAGGAGAAAGGACTCGATACTGAGAATAGTTTTGTCATTCTGATGACTCATGCATTGTAAGCTTCAATGGCGTTCAGCAAACGTAACATACCTACATAATACAAAATCATCTATATTACAGACCTAAAGGAATCCTTCCAAAGATTACTTGCGATAAACCTTAAGTTTTATAACAGGAGAGGCTTTACATCAAATCATAAAGTCCAATTGTCAAAACTGATTTCTAAAGTATTTACAGTGGCACTATCCCACTGTTATAGAAGGCAAATGAGGCTGAGAGTTTATATAATCAAAACTGCCTTCTGCTATTCTAATTAAACTTCCTTTGTGTTTCTTGTAGTCATTCATTATATAGGCATATTAAGACAGAAATAGCACAGCAGGAACAATGCAAAAATTAAATATCAACCCAGATAGAAAGAATAACTGGCAATAATAAAAAGAACATTCATAATGAATAAATTTATAGAGTATAGAAAAGTACTAAATACAGTACCTACATTAGGAGGGGTCAAATCTGCATTTCATGAAGCAAAACAGGAAAGTATTATATATTATGAGACAGATAACGATAGACCACACATGACACAAGTAATGAATATTGTAATTTTTCTTATGATTACTAAAAACATTAAAAAGACAACAATCATGGAGTCAAGCGGTAGCTTTCAAAGAAGAAAAAAACTACGAATCATTACTTTATCCAGTAGATAATTCGTTGTCCATCTTGATGGTAGAAGTTATGTGATCGTTTATGAGACTATTTTAAACATATGCAAGTTTTCGCTAAACACTTAGGGTGAAATGACAGATCAGTAAGATTTACCACAGCATTCTCTTTTAGCCAAGCCAGCAAGCACTTTTTGTCATTTGAACTCGTTAATGGATGCACATGCCCACACACACTAAACTGCATCTCCCAGCACAACCTTCCACCTTTGATAATGAAGTAGGACAATACCACAAATAGACAATACAGTGGGTCTGTGAAAGGCAGAAAGAACATTACCTTCCAGTAAGTTCATATCGATGTCATTATTATCAGGCTTGTGTAGGCACGGGTATGTGTTAAACAGATTAGCTACGAAAGCTAAATTAAGCTTAGGGTTGCCTGAGACCACATCCGCCGGAGTGACAAACTGCCTGCAGCCCAGCTTCTCTGCTTCTTGAAGCATGAATCCAGCACGCTTCAGGTCATTTTTCTCCTAAACAATCAAGTAAAATGAAAATGGTCAAGAGTAAACTTTTGATTCACACGATTTTTTTAAACTGGTATAGATATTTCTAAATAATTACATTCCTGGGGACCAGCAGTTAGCGTAATGGCTATGTTGCTGGACTCCCATGTAATCAACCACGGTTCGAGTCCCAGACCCGGTGGCTTAAACTCACGCCGGGTGCGTGTGTGTGCGTGTCCAAGATCCCAAGAGGAGAATGGAGGAGAAGGGATTGTGGCGTGGCCATCCCCTCTGGGGGTGATTTCTCGCTTTCTATCTCTCTCTCTCTGTCTTTCTGGCGAGCGCACGTGCCCAATAAGAAAAAAAACTCCCCCAAAAATAAATAAAAGTAATTATGTTCCTGGAACTATACCACGCAATATCTCAAAATACAACCTGAATGTAGGAATTCCACAGCAACTTGATCATTTGTTTTAAATCAAAAAGAATAAGTCTCTGAATTTTTTTGCTTAGATCACTGAGTCATATTTTACCCTTCCTGCTAAAATACGCAACAAAACTCAATTTTTTAAAAAAGACTTTTGCCATAGGGTGTGTACACTCACTGGAGAGAGACAGGGAGAGATAGAAAGCGAGAAATCACCCCCAGAGGGGATGGCCACGCCACAATCCCTTCTCCTCCATTCTCCTCTCAGGATTTTGGGCACGCATGCACACACCCCAGTGTGTTTTTCAAGCTGCCAGGTCCAGACCTCAATCCATAGCCAGTCAGGTAGGAATCCAATGCCTTAACCACTACGCCACCTGCTGGCCCCAACTCTCAAATATTTTATCAGTAAGCTGGTGGTCAAATTATAGGTAACATGCTCAAGTCACCTGGTAGTGTGCCTTCTAGATAACAGCCTTAGTTGTCTCACCCATCTACACTAAGTGATATTTCTTTTTTTATAAAAGAGGTTTTTGCCATAGGGCACACGCACTTGCCAAAGAAAGAGACAGTGAGAGTGAAAGTGAGAAATCACCTCTCCAGGGAGGATGACCACATCACAATCCCTTCCGCTCCATTCTCCTCCTGGGATCTTGGTCACACGTGCACAAACGCCCAGCATGATTCTCAAGCCACCAAGTCCAGGACTTGAACCACAGTCGGCCATGTGGGAGTCCAGTGACATAACCACCACACCATCTGCTAGCCCCCTGAGTGATATTTCTAAGTAGATTCTTGATGAAAAACAAGTTGAGATACATGTGTTTTTTTGTTTTTGTTTTTATAAAAAGCAAAAATTGGAAGGAACAGTCCTTTTAACAACTGCAAGATCCTGAAAACAAAAAATAAATAACTAAACAAACTAAATACCTACAAACAGGAGAATAAATGAACAGCCTGGCATAGTCACACAATGACATACAATATGGGTGACTTTTAGAGATATAAGCTCAAATTGAAGGACCCCATCACAATCCCTCCCGCTCCATTCTCCTCCTGGGATCTTGGTCACACGTGCACAAACGCCCAGCATGATTCTCAAGCCACCAAGTCCAGGACTTGAACCACAGTCGGCCATGTGGGAGTCCAGTGACATAACCACCACACCATCTGCTAGCCCCCTGAGTGATATTTCTAAGTAGATTCTTGATGAAAAACAAGTTGAGATACATGTGTTTTTTTGTTTTTGTTTTTATAAAAAGCAAAAATTGGAAGGAACAGTCCTTTTAACAACTGCAAGATCCTGAAAACAAAAAATAAATAACTAAACAAACTAAATACCTACAAACAGGAGAATAAATGAACAGCCTGGCATAGTCACACAATGACATACAATATGGGTGACTTTTAGAGATATAAGCTCAAATTGAAGTACTAGAAATGTGAACACAACACTGTAAACTTTACATCAGGTGAAAAAGTAAAATAAGTCCAACCGTGGTGGCACAGGTCACAAGGCACCCCTGCATGATACTGGAGCTACTGGGAGGTCAACTTGAACATGCAGGCACATCCACACCCACCCGTGATCCTGGCTGGCTGGAAGGCTCGGGGGAGAATCATGGTGTGGAAAGGCCCTTTCAAGTATACCTAATCTTTCTCCTCCCTCACGAAAGAAGAAAAGTTTTTAAAAAGTAAAATAAATTTTGTAAAAAATACATTTGCATGGGACCAGCAGTTAGTGTAATGGCTATGTCGTTGGACTCCCAGGTAGTCGACCGTGGCTTGCGTCCCAGACCCAGTGGCTTAAACTCACGCTTGGTGCGTGTGCATGCGTGCCCATGATCCTGAGAGGAGAATGGAGGAGAAGGGATTGTAGCGTGGCCATCCCCCCAGGGGTGTGTGTGTGGGTGATTTCTCGCTCTCTGTCTCCCTGTCTCTCTCTTTCTGGTGAGCACATGCACCCTATAGCAAAAATGTCTCAAAAAAAAAAAAGAAATATATTTACATGAAAGGAAACTATTGTTTAAAAATTAAAGAACAGTAACACAAGATTCAAGATGGTGGTTACGACACTGGGGTGAGCAGAGAAACTGAATAGGAAGAACTGCACAGACAAATATAAGTTAATGTCAAGGTGTTAGTTTTCTTGTAGAATTTAGAGTTCAAGCTTGGGTGGCCAGCAGGTGGTGCGGTGGTTAAGGCGCTGGACTTCTGCATGGCCAACTGCAATTCAAGTCCCGGACCTGGGGGCTTGCTTTCTCATCTCATCTCTTGTTCTCCCCCACAACTTGAAAAACACACCAGACACATATGCACGTATGCCCAAAATTCCAATAGGAGAATGAAGAAGGGACTGCAGCATGAGCATACTCCCTGGGGGGTGCTTTCTCACTTTGTTTCTCTCTCTGTCTCTGGCAAGCACACATGCCCAATAGCAAATCAATCGATCTATCAATAATAATAAAAGAGTTCAGGCTTATTATAATTTCAAGCAAACCACCATGAACAAAAATAGAGAAGCATGTGTGCGTGGATTCATGATGAGAGTTTATCAACACCAATGATATAACCCATCTATCAATAATTCTGTGCACTAGGCTGTAAAAAAGTAAAAATGTAAATCAAATCAAGAAAAGTGATAGATTCAGTGACTTGAACAATAATGAAAAGTTACCAAGATAGACATCGACAAACCAAAATATGCAGACCTTAATTCTAATAAACTATAAAAAGAACAATTTTGAATATTTTGACATTTACAAAACAACTGAAAATATCAATGGGACTAGCTATTTTGATGATATTAAAGATTATTGTTGGGGCCACCATTTGACATGGTGGTTAAGGCACTGGACTCCCACATGGCCAACTGCAGTTTCAGTCCTGGGCCCAGTGGCTTCAAAAATCCCACCAGGCACATGTGCATGTATGCCCAAACTCCAGAGGGGAGACTGGAGGAGAAAGGACTGTGGTATGGCCATCCCACCTGGGGGGTGATTTCTTACTTTCCCTCCGTCTCTTTCTTTCTCACTATCTCTGATGATCAAAATCTTAAAAAAGTTATTCTTAATTTTTTAAGGTATGATAAGGTATGGGGTCACAGTGTGTGGTCACAGGTGACACAGTGGTTAAGATTCTGGGTCCCACATGGCTGACTGCAGATCGAGTCCTAGACCCAACAGCTTGAGAGACATACCAGGTGCATGTGTGCCCAAGAGGAGAAAGGAGAAATGATGGTGGTGTGATCACCCCAGCAATAACTTCTCACTTTCTCTTTATTTCTCTCTCTCTCCAGCAAGCGCACATACCATACAGCGATAAAAAATTAAATTATTTTTAGAAAGGAAAAATAGCTTATCAGTGAAATTATATGATGCCAAGGATATGCTTCAAAGTAATATAAAAGAAGGAAGTGGAATAAATGAAATAACACTGAGCTGACAGAGGTTGAACTTGGGGGATGAGCACATGGTAGTTAAGTATGATACATCAGTTTACTTTTGAATATGTTTAAAATTTTTCATAATTTTTTTAAAGTACCTCACTTTTTGGCTTGAAGTAATTCCTAAACTTCATATAGTTTTGCAATGTTGTTTGAGATATTTCATTATAATATTAATATTAATTAGTAATGACTCAAATTGTCTTTAAAACCAAATATTATGGATACTGCACTTTAAGTATTTAACATTATTTTCATGCAGCCTAGATAGTCTGCCCAGATTTTAATGTTTAGATAGAACCATCTCTGGCAAAAAAAAAAAAAAAGTGCTAAAAGAACGGGCTTCCTAAGAAAATGTTTTAAAAGAGTGGGGGGAAGGGCAGCAAGTGGCGTGGTGGGTAAGGTGCCTCACACTTCCACACAGCCAACCATGGTTTGAGTCCTGGACCAGGTGGCTTGCTTTCTCACTTTCCCTCTCTCTCCCTCTGTTTCCTTCTGGTTAAATTAAAATAAATGAATGAATAAATAAACTTAAATAAATAATTCTTCAAAAAAAATTTAGAAAGGGTCAGGATCTAGGTCCTTCTCTACACCATAAATGTTAAGAACTGCCATCTGGGGCCAGCAGGTGGCATGGTGGTTAAGGATACTAGGCTCCCACCTGGTCAACCATGGTTCAAGTCCCAGACCTGGTGGCTTGCTTTCTCACTTTCCTTCTCTCTCTCACGCCATCCCTCTCTGGTCAAATTGAAACAAAGAGAGAGAGAAAGAGAGAAAGAGAGGGAGAGAGAAAGAAAGAAAGAAAAGAAAAGAAAGGAGGAAAGAGAGGGAGAGAGAGAAAAAAAGAAAAACAGTTAAATAAAATAATTCTTAAAAAAAAAAAAGCAACCATCTTGCATTTTGTGTATTTCTAAATTTAACCTGGCAGAACTGATAATAAATTGTTTAGCAATCTAATAACAGCTCGTTGGGTTCCAGTTGTGTTGTGCCAGAGAAACACAGGACTGATTCCACATATGTTCGGGTCTGAATTCTGTATTTATCTTTCTTTAGTTGTGACAGTCAGATGGCTTAGCATGGATCCTTGCAGCCTAGGGAATGAAAAAAAGTTCTGAAGAACAAAGGGCCAAAATTTAATGAAGGACTGAGGACTCCAACAGGAATGCTTCCTGTGGGGAATTGTGCTCAAAATTAAGCTGTAGTCACTAGTCAAATTCATAGTCAGAAAGCAGAACGGTAGTTTTCAGGGCTTAGGGGAGGAGCCAATAGGCAGTTACTGTTTAATGGGTTCCGAGTTTCACTATGGGAGAGAGAACGTCTAGGGAGGAATGGTGATAACAAGTGCATAATAATGTGAGTTTATTAAATGTACACTAAAAAGGGTAAAAAAACAAATGTTATGTTATGCATATTTTACCATAATATAATTTTTTTAACTCCACTCACATTAAATCCAGAAAGGTCAATAGCTATGGCAGGTCCATCTTCCCCGTTGCCTTTAGGAGCAATCTGATTAAGCAGGTGAAAATAGGCTCTGGAATCCTTCAAAGAAAGATATGAAATAGAGTTTTTTAAATGAATAAAGTCATCATTGAATTTAGGAAAAAAGCACTCAAACCGAGAAGTTTGACCCCCATCTCAAAGAATGTAATACTAACTTAGTAGCTTAAATAATACTGTATTACCTGTAGGTTCCTGAAGGTACCATGCTAGTCACATTTCAGAGCATTTAGCAATCCTCTTTCATATCCAAGAGTTTCTAGCAATGCTTCTCTCCCCTGACAGAATACCCTCTGTCACCTTTTTCATTTTTTTACATCTCCAGGTATCAGCACCAATTAGGATTCAGGTCAAGTCTTATCTCCTTGATGCCATCCCTACTTTCTCTAGAATTAACTAATACTCTTCCTCTACACTGTACAATGCCCTTGCCCATCTCTGTTATAGTAAACTGTGACCATACTATTTAATCATCCAGTGTTATTGTCTCCAAGGATGGCTATCATATGTTATACATATGTAAGTATTTTAGGGCCAGCAGGTGGCGTGGTGGTTAAAGTGCTGGACTCCCACATGGTCAACCACGGTTTGAGTCCTGGACTTGGCAGCTTGCTTTCTCACTTCCCTTCTCTCTTTCTCTGGTCAAATTAAAAAATAATAACAAGTTAATTAATTATTTTTAAAAGAATTTTATATTTAATATAATTATATAAATATATGATACATATGTGATATATATATATATATTCCAATTAAAGGTCAGAGTCTATTTCCCTGCCCCTTTAATTTGAACTGGTCTTAGGGCTCACTTTGACAAATAGCATGCGGTGAAAGTGATGTTCTGGGTTTTGTTTTGGTTTTTAATTATTTGTTTATTTAATTACATTTATTATTATTTTTTTTTTAGTTTGACCAGAGAAAGATAGAGAGAGAGAGGACGGGAAAGCAAGAAACCAAGCCGCCAGGTCCAGGACTCGAACCATAGTCAGTCACTTGGGCAGCAACCTTAACCACCAGGCCACTTGCTGACCCCATGTTCTGGGGTTTTCATACCTAGACCTTTAGAGCTCTAAAGGAATATGCATTAAACCTAGTAATGATTACTCTGGAAAGAAAGAAATTTAGAGAAAAAAAAGTGCCGGAGACCAAGTTTGGCCATGCCCCTCCAGGCGGTGACTGCATGGTGGGTATGGCCAGACTGCAGCTGAGAGTCGTTTCTAGACAGTGAATGTTGGTTTCCTTAACAAGGTTCTTCTGTTAGAGAGCAAAGTGTTCCAGGTTACTTTGGTAACATGTGCTTAACATCCTTAGTATACCTTAATATCCGCTTTGTCTACTGATTTCCTGTGCTTGTATCATTTGCTTTCCTGTCAGATGGTTATTGGCAAAGTCAGGGTAAGAATACTGAATCAGTCAGGCCCACAAGGGCCTCAGTCCAGCCAACAGATGTTAATTATTGGTCCAAATTAATGGACTGACAACCTCTTCATAATTTGGCAGACCTGTGGCATATAAAATGGGAAAGAACACTTTCAGGCATAGTGGTTAGGGGAGCCAGATCTTACTTGGCCAACTGTAGTTCAAATCCTGCCCCAGAGGCTTGGAAAATACACCAGGCAAGATCCAAATGGGATGGAGAAATGGAGGAGAAGAGATCGTGGCATAATTATGTCCCACTACAGGATACTCCTCCCTCCCTACCTCTCCCTCTTTCTCAAGCACATGTGCCCTCTGGCAATAAAAACAATAATGATAATGATGCTTTCATCTACTGATGGTGACGCTCTTTACTCTTACAGCCAGTTGTAGTTCTTATTAAAATCCAATTAATCATTCAGTTTCTTTTACTTATTTTTAAAATATTTTTCTATAGGGTGAGTATGCTCACAGGAGAGAGATGGGTGGGGGTGAGAAAGCAGCCCTTGGGGCGGGGTGGATGCCCATGCCACAATCCTCCCTCTTCCATTCTTCTCTTGGAATACTGGGCATGTATGCACACACACCTAGCGTATTTCTCAAACCACCAGGTCCAGAACTCGAACCATGCAGTCAGCCAAGTGGGATCCAGCTGCCTCAACTACCATGCCATATGCCAGCCCCTCAGTTTTGTTTTGTTTTTAATTTTTTAAGTCTTTTTAAAAATTATTTCATGTCTATTTATTTATTTTAATTTGACCAGAAAGAGACAGAAAAAAAGAGGGAAAGTGAAAAAGCAAGCTGTCAGGTCTAGGACTTGAACCACAGTCAGCCACATGGGAATCCAGCCAACTTGACCACCATACCACTTGCGGGCTCCCTGGGTTTATTTTTTTTTAAAAGATTTTGTGAATTTAAACAGAAAGATCTACTTCAGACAGAAAAATGCAAAATTTTATTTTTAGTGCTAGAATCCTGTGAATTCAATTCAAATGGGAGTTGGAGCCTTATTTCTACATTCCACATCCTTATTTCACAGATTTAGCATTAAAATGTAAACCTTAATGTCCTGGCTGAAGTTGCTGATGGTCCGCCAGCCCGCGTTGGTCAGATGGTAGTTCACCCAGCGCAGCAGCAATTCCTCAGGAGAAAGCCTCATCAGCTCCTCCAGGTCCTCCCCGTCGTTCAGCAGTGCAATCAAAGCTGAGAGGAAAACACCGAAACATAAATTCTTGCCACAGGACGTGCCAAGGAAAGGTAAGAATTTTTGATCATCTTACCTTCGTTTCTAGAAAGCTCAATATCGGCAAAAAGACCAACTTTGATGATCTGCCAGAGAAGTCCCAAGACCAAATGCGGTTTTCCTTCTTTCAGATCCTGCGCACCGATGTTGACCACTGTACAACCGATGGCTGAGGCAGAGTTCAGAGCTAGGTTTAAATTTTCCTGAATTGCCCAAAACAAAATACATGTCAGGAAGTATGTTCTAAATTCTTTTTTTAAAAATAATTCTTTTAGTTTTATTTATTTTAAATTGGCCAGAGAAGGACAGAGAGAGAGAGCAAGAGAGAAAGTGGGAAAACAAGCCGCCAGGTCTGGGACTTGAACCACAGTCAGCCATGTGGGAATCCAGTGCTTTTAACCACCACACCACCTGTTAGGCCTGTATTTTCTAAATTCTTATCTATAAGTTACCTTCACAAAACAAAAAATTGCAGCAATTTTGGATTTTTTTACTACAAAGAATATTTATGCAACTAAAATAACTGCTATTCAAAAAAATTCACATAGTTTTATCTCCTAGATATGTCAATGACTTGCAAATCTCTATCTCCAGCCCACACTTCCTCCAAGCCCTCACCCTAGGCTCTACACATGTAATACACACAGATGTTCTATAGTACCTCAAATACAACATGTTCAAAACTAAGGTAGACTTTCTTGGCATGCCTCCTTGGGCTTCCCATCCTTGTTAAAAGCTCTTGGTTATGTATGTACTGCCATGGTTGATGGTTCCAACCTTCATTCTTGCCTCCTTTCTTTTCATGCCAGACACCTGAGCAGAATCCTTGCTTTCTTGCCTCCCATATCCAGGCACCAATGTCTGCCAATCCCACTTTTTTTTTTTTTTCTTTTTGAGAGGTTTTTGCTATAGGGCGTATGCACTCGCCAGACAGACAGAGAGAGACAGAAAGACAGAAAGCAAGAAATCACCCCCCAGGCGGGATGGCCACGCCGCAATCCCTTCTTCTCATTCTCCCCTCGGGATCTTGAGCATGCACACACAAGTGCTTGGTGTGAGTCTTAAGCCACCAGGTCCGGGACTTGAACCATGGTTGACTACGTGAGAGTCCAGCAACATAGCCATTACACTAACTACTGGTCCCCCAATTCCGCCTTCTGAATACATCTGAAGATTGTGCCTTTCCTTAGTAGTTCCTTAACTTCCTTCCTAATGACTATCCATAGACATACTCTTCTAATTCCTCTTCCTCAATGTTTTGCTCCTAGTGATTTTAGGAAAAGAGAAATCTGATGGTATTGCCCAGCTTTAAATGCATCAAAATTCCTTGTCACTCCCTCTATCTCCTCTCACTGGCTTTCTTTCAGCTACACAGGGCCTCTGAACTTGCTGTTTCCTCTGATGTAACATGCTTTCCTCAAATACCAACGATTGCTTTAAGAATCTGCTCAAATTCACCTAATTGGAGAAACAGACTCTGATCAGCCTATACAAAATAGCAAGTGTCATCAACCCCTACTGACACTTGTTATTCCCTATTTACTTATTACTCTCTGACATACAGTAAGAGGAATCATCAAAAAGTTCACAGATAATTCATATTAGGAAAAAAACTCATGGACTTTGAACATTTTTTGAACTAAAATAAACTCATACTTTGAGAGACTTTTGCTATGGGGTGTGTGTACTCACCAGAGAGACAGAGAGACAGAAAGGTAGAAATCACCCCTGGGGGAATGGTCATGTCATAATCCCTTAGCCACCATTCTCCTCCTGGGATTTTGGGTATGTATGCAAGTGTGCCCAGTGTGAGTTTCAAATACCCAGTGTGAATTTCAAGCCCCAGGTTGGGAGCCAAACTGCACCTGTCCACGTGGGAGCCTAGCACCTTAACCACTATACCACCTGCTGGCCCCTAAATTCATACTTTAATTCCATTTTCCATGAACTTCCTGAAGTTCTCTCATATACTGGGTTGTCAGGAAAGTCATGCTGCGTTTTTGCATAGAAAAACACAGAAAAAATACATCGCGACTTTTCCAACCACTCAATACTTGTTTCTTGTTTTACCTGCCCCATTTAAGCATATAAGACCTTGGGCTTTCTACAGTGCTGAAGTACATGGTATATGCACAATAAATAAATTGAGCAAGGATTCTGCTCAGGTTTCTGGCTTATGAAAGAAGAAAATGAAGGTTGGTACAATCAGCCAAGACTATAAGTAAATAAGAAGTGTTTTTTTGTTTTTGTTTTTAGTTTTTGCTATAGGGTGCATGTGCACACTAGAGAGAGTCAGAGACAGAGAGAGGGAGAGAGAGAGAGGTAAGAAGAGAAATCACCCCCTGGTGGGGGATGGCCATGCACTATCCTTTCTCCTCCACTGTCCTCTCAGGATTTGGGGCATGCACACACATGCACCCAGTGTGATTTTCAAGCCACCAGGGTCTGAGATTAAAACCGCAAAGAGGCCTGTGTGAGAGTCCAGTGCATTAACCTACACACCACCTGCTGGCCCAGGAATCGCCATTTTAACAATCATATGAAAACTAAGGAAGCACAGTGAGAAAATCTAGTTTACTAAGCACACAGCCATATCGATTTATTGAGCAAATAATTATTAATAGATGAATAAGTAAAAGTAAATGAAGGTAGAGGGTGAGAGGAAGAGGAGACTATGAGGAAAGATATTAAGGAGAAAAATAGAGAGGTAAGACATTTGTGGGACAAAGAAATGGATGATTATCTGTTGATGATAATGCGTATAGTATCCCCACTGGACTGGTGTGAAGTGTATTCACGTTGGAAAATTTGCTTTACAAGCTATGTGAAGTATAATGCTTAAATGTATAAAAGAAATTAAAATAAAATACATTAAATTTTTTTAAAAGTGAATGAAGGCATAGAGTAAAAAGAGAGGGTCAACTTAAAATTTTTAGTAGGGCAGTCAAAGACCTTCAGGATTGGGGCAGGCAGGTGATATGGTGGTTAGGGCAGTGAACTCCCATGTGGCTGACTAGTCAAGTCCCAGACTGGCCGGTTTGCTTTCTCATTTTTTTTCCCTCTCTCTATCTGGTCAAATTAAACAAATAATAATAATAAATAATTCTAAAAAACCCCCAAGACCTTCAAGATTTAACTCTGACTTCATCTCTCAACATTTTACATATGTAGTCTGCGCTTCAATCAAGATAGAAGAACACCCCCACCCTGTGAGCAAAAAAAGATAGGTCCTTTTTTCTTGGCGTGTAATGTTCTAATGTACTCATGTCACGTGCTTATTCCTCAAATCAAACACCATCTCTTCTATGAAGATTTCCTAAAATAATATCCCTATAGAAAACTGGTCATCCCAGCAGATGGCATAATGCCTATGTCACTAGACTCCCATACAGTTGACAGTGCGGGCACATATGTGTGTATGCCCAAAATCCCAAGAGGAGAATGGAGGAGAAGGGATTGTGGCATGACCGTCCTCCTCAGGGGGTGAGTTCTTATTTTCTGTCTCTCTGTCTCTCCCTGTCTCTCTAGCGAGCACACACGCCCTATAGCAAAAATCTCTTTAAAAAAAAGAAAAGAAAATTGGTCACTCTTTCTTATATATAATGCCTTTTCAAAGGATGAAAAGAATTATTAATATTTATACATTATATAAATACTACATTTTAATGACAGATATTCTAGAAATTTCAGTATTATTGGGGTTTTAGTATTGGGTTAATGGTCTTTTTAATTTCTATGAAGTTCTTATTTGGAAGAACTTCTTCAAAAAGTCTTGTTTAGGAACCAGCAGACGGCATAATGGGTACATGGCTGGACTCCCATGTAGTTGACCGCAGTTTGAATCCTAGACCTAAGAAGAGGCTACCGCATGGCCATCTCCCTAGTAAGGGGCGGGGGATTTCTCTCTCCCTCTTTGGCAAGAGCTCATGCCCTATAGTAAAAAGAAAAAAAAGAGAAAAGGATGTGTAGTCTAATTTTAAATTCACAGTTTTTGTTTTTTAAAACAAATTTGACAGAGGGTACATGCACTCGCTGAAGAAAGAGAGAAAGTGTTAGAAAGCGCCCTCCCGTGGGTCACGGTCACACTGCAATCCATTCTTCTCCACTTCTCCTTTTCAGGATTTTGGGCACACACACACACACACACACACAAGAGAGCATGTTTCTCGAGCCAGGACTCTAACCACATAGACAGCCATGTGGGATCCAGCCATCGTAACCCTTTGGTGGTTAACCCCAAAACATGGCCTAAGAGAATTTTTAAATAACTCTTAAAATGGATTTTTTTTTTTTAGAGAGAGATTTTTGATACAGGGAACATGTGCTCACTGGAGAGTAAAAGAGACAAAGTGAGAAATCACCCCCCGGGGGAATGGCCACATCACAATCTGCTCTCCTCCATCCTCCTCTCCGGATTTTGGGCATGCGCACACGTACAGAAACTGAGGCCCTGACAGGTTATACAGTGTCAGGGGAGGGATAGGATCCCCATAGTTTCTTTTTTTAAAAGAGGTTTTTGCTATAGGGCACATGTGCTCATGGGATGGAGTGGGGGAAGAGATAGAGAGACAAAGAAAGTAAGAGGGAAAGTGAGAGCTCAACCCCCCACCAGGGAGAATGGCCAGTCTCAATCCTTTCTCCTTACTCTCCTCCCAGGATCTTGGGCACACACGCACACATGCCTGGTGTGAGTTTTAAGCCACCGGGTCCAGGACTCAAACCACTGGTCGGCCATGTGGGAGTCCAGTGACATAACCACTATGCCATCTGCTGGGCCCAAGAGTCCATCTTCTTAGTCACCATGCTCTATTGCTCTGTAGTAACAGTGATTTACTGTGTTGGTGACAGTAGCAGCTATGCACACATATTTTCGGAGTATGGTAAATATTTCAGTGACTGTCTTGCGGTATGTGGAAGCAATTTATCTTGCTGGGTTCCAAATAAATGGCTGTATCTCTTGGGGATCAGTCTAGAGTGATTAAAGTACGCTACGCATTTGAAGTTATTTTTGTAGTAGTATTAAGCAACATTCATTTAAACAGTTCTCCCAAAGGAAACAAAACAGCCAGGGAATCTTTCACTATCTTTATAACCTCATAATTCACTACAAATAAACAAATATGAAAACTCTATCAGTGAATTGCACATACTTTATGGAACTCTGAGGTTTTTTTAATAGCTTCCGATGATTTTAAGTTATCTT